CATTTGCAAACATTAATCTGGCTTTTCTTATACTTCTTTTGAAGTAATGACTTCTTCCTGGCAGAGTGGCCTTTCAGCCCATGTTGATACAGAACTCCAGCACAGACACTCTAACCAGCTCCAGCAGCTCTTTTCTTTTGTTCTTGTGTTGATGTTCACATTTCAGACCAAAGCATATTCATCTCTGAGACACAGAACCCATCTCCTTCCTGGGCAGTATGATGGCTGGACATTTCCATCTTGTTTGGACTTGTGTATAGTTGTTTGTGCAGATGAACGAGGCACCTTCATGCTTCCGGAAATTGCACCTAAGGATGAACCAGACCTGTGCAGGCCCACTATTCTCTTTCTGATATGTTGGCTGATTTATTTAGACATTTCCAAGATGTTACAGAAGGAAGCAGTGTGTTTCAGGTGTGCCTTAATAATAAAAGTTGCTATATAAAATATCTCTCTCATTATTCTGGCATTTAGCAAATGAAAAAAAAAACTGGTAATCATAACTGACCTAAAACAGGAAAAGTTTATTCTGATTTCACATCAGACAGGAAAAAAATCACAATGTATATTTTTATATAGTCTAAGTAAACTTCTGGTTTCAACTGTATTATATAAAAAAATAAAATAAATGAAGTTTATTTGCATATTTGCAGGTGTACATGCACATAAAAATCTGTAGTTACTGAAGTAATCAGTCTTTCTGGGAACATGAAAGAAACACAGACCATGCTGATCCGGTGCTGTAACCAGTTTGTAACTGTCTGAACAGAGCCCAGCTGGAGAATGAGAAGAAAAAGCGCGAGCTTGCAGAGAAAGAGAAGGAGCGGATAGAGCGAGAGAAACAGGAGCTGATTGAGAGGCTGAGGCAGATAGAAGAGCAGACGCAGAGAGCTCAGAAAGGTACGACTCTGGACTCCAGAGCTGTGTGTGTTAGTGTGAGTCCTGCTACACACCAGGCTTTAACAGGCTCTGAGCTGTTTGTGTTTACAGATGTTTGTGTTTACAGATGTTTGTGTTTACAGATGTTTGTGTTTACAGATGTTTGTGTTTACAGATGTTTGTGTTTACAGCATGTTTGTGTTTACAGATGTTTGTGTTTACAGATGTTTGTGTTTACAGATGTTTGTGTTTACAGATGTTTGTGTTTACAGCATGTTTGTGTTTACAGCATGTTTGTGTTTAAGGGTGTCCATATGTGCACTTGGCACCAGGACACCCAAGGCCGCAGTTCGATGATCGATTTTGTCGTCGTTTCATCTGATCTGCAGCCATTTGTCTTGGACACTCG